GTATTGGTGCTTAACTTACTGAATAATTCGATGCAGGGTTTTCTGCAAATCTCCGTCTTAATTCTAAAACAATTAGGAGGGGAAAAAGGCAGAGGGACTATTTTCCAAGGCATGGTTGGTACCTGACTTGCACTGAAAGATGAAAGATGCTGTCACTTGTTCCTAGCCCACAGTGGGGGATGACCACAAGACTGTGCCAGCCCTGGTCCAGGGTCCGTTCCCCTCAGGCTCAGCCTGAAAGACTCTGACTAGCCCCAAGACAAGCCAGGTTCTTTTAACTACTGTAGTGACACACTGAATTTTGAGGAAACTACCCTGTAAACCAGAATTCTTTTTGGTGCTGAAAACAATACTTCTTTTTTCTTTCTAATTCTGTGGGAACTGTGATTCTATTTTGTAACTTATTTCCCTCTTTTTTCCTTTTAAGATGGTTGCCAAACATTTATTGTGGGATTTTTCATTTAAAATAGTTTTCTAGGGAAATTACTGTGACAGTGATTTAATTGTTTAATTAAAATCTGACATTGATGACAACATAAATACAATAGGCATGAGGTGATATAGGCATTAAACAAGTGCAATTGTGGAATACATCCATAGAGTACTCTGAGCACACAGACCAGCTCACAAAGAAATGATGTTCAATATTTATCAGGTTAGTGAGTCCTAATTAAATGCCAAGACTTTTTTTTCATTTCTCTAAAAAAGCAAAGAAACATATAGCTGCATTCCAAGTGTTTATTTCCATCACAAACACATCTACTCATCTGGTGTTAAGGCCTGCAGAAAAAAGCAAATTCATACTAAAAATCTGCTGGTTGACTTAAGGGCTATTTTTTCAGCGTGACCACAGCAAGCTAGCCAGGGGTCTGGAGAGGGCTGGAATAGCCCACTGACGTCCCAGCACTCCCAGTGGATACAGTAAGTCCAGTGATTACAAAATAGATTTTTTTTAATAACTGCGTAAAGAAATCAGTCATATATTGAAGACAAAGAAAAGAACAAATGTTCCTCAGAAAATCTCCCCCCCCAGCCCAAATCTCTCCCTGCTCCTTCAGTATGTATTTCTTCTAAAAATGCGTTCGCCCCCCTCTCGCACACCCACACCTCTCCCTCAGCAGTAAAGGAGGCAGCCCCCTGCCCACTCAACACCGTGTACGTGCCTCCAGAAGAAATTCACATTATCTGGCTAGAATGGCTCAGCAGTGCAGTGCGTCTCTCCAGCCCTCTCTTTCCAAGCCCTGCTGCATTTCTGCATCCCAACAATGAACGCGCTGCTGTTGGAATATCCCTTCCCATGCCTCTTGCTGGGCGTCTTTAAATGGTATCAGATCCTTCTGCAGCTCAGCCAGCCCTTTGCAATCAGTCGCTGCTGATGTCTGCCCTTTCCCCCCTACAGAAATGCATCTGCTCCAATTCCTGTCGGCCTTCCCCCTTCTTGTATGCAACTTCATTCAAACAAACTTTCTTAATGAAAAGAGAGCTTACCTGGACAATGCTTTGAGCGTAAACTAATAAAAACTGATAAAGCCAGACATCCCAACTCTAGTACAGGGATTTGATTGCAAATTTCCATTGCAAAGAAGAGGGAACTGGAAATCTGACAAATGCCTTCAAATTGACCTGTGTTTTCACAAAGCACACTGTGTTTAAAATGAATGGCAGACTTTATCATTTGGAGCTCCTTCAAGGACTCTGGCCTTCTACGCTTTGTTCTAATTCTTCAGACATATTTCCAAGAAGCACAAAGCTACATGAGAGGATGATGAAGATATATCTATCTTCATATCTTCATATATTCTATCTTTATATCTGGGAGATATATCTATTTTTTAAGCGGGATTTCAACTGAATTCAAGTCTGAATTCAAAAAGATAGCCTGGAACTTTTCACTTACTATCCCCATACATTAGTACCTCACATCCAGGCAGTCTCCTTCCCCTCCAGGCTTTATCCCAGTCCCCGAGTGCCCGGCGGAGCGGGCAGCCAGCCTGATGCCGGAGCAGCTCCACAGGGCTGTGGCTCCCTTAAAAATCCACCGCAGTCAACTGCTCCCACCACAGCCTGATGCAAATCTGGCCCACTCCTGCCTGAGGACAGAGCTGCTCCTGAGCTATATTTCCAAGGGAGGACTTGGTCTCCTTGCAGAACTCAGGGACCCGCAGCCGCTCACCCCTATTTCACATGTCACAGAGACATTTTTCTGGAAGTTCGGTCCAGAAACCCATCTGCGCTGCCTCACCAAAACGCTTTGCTTCCCAGTTGTTCCTCTTCATCTGTATACATTTCTACAAATAATAACTTCCCTTTAAAGACCTGGTATTAGTTCCATCTGTTCAAAATAATATATATATGAAACTCTGTGATTCTATGCACAATTATATCAGATATGCTGCAAGACAAAAAAACAGGCTTAATCTAATAATTCAACTGCATCTTTAACAAGTTTCCTATGGGAAAAATCAGTCTTATTTTCCCTGCAGATCTGATACTGAGAGCTTCTTTTTACTAAGCACATTAAAAGCTATTTGAACCAAAAATCCTATCTATGCATGTGTAGAGATACACATATATAGAAACAAGAGGCATACAGATGAGACTCTATCAAGATTTCCAATTATAGCAAGGGTAGTCCCTTCTTATATTTTAGCATCTGGGTTGTCTTTTTGCCTAGAACAAAGAAATCTTAAGCAAATTTTCTAGAGGAGAAGCGTGCACGAGTGTGTTTAAATGCTGTACCTAACAATTACTGTACAAATTATTCCTTAATTCCTCAGACTTATTTTGGTATTTGCACAGTGGTTTATCCGGCTGGTCCTGCGGTCATCGCTTCTTCAGTCCCTTCTTTTTACATGCACACACACCTTGCTGCATTTTTTTGCGCCCTGTTGAAAACTGGAACTCTTCCATTCCCAGCCTCTGGACAGCTGTGCTCAGGACACAGGCAGAGCTCCGTCCCCCACTCAGCTGGGCCCTTTCCCTGCCCAGCCAAGACAGGAGGGAAGGTGTCCTAGGACTTGACCCAGCACAGAGCCTGCTCGGGCTGGACCCGGCTCCCAGGAGGGTAGGGGAGCTGCAGGGAGTGCTCCCCTCTCCCCGCTTAACCCCTTCACTGCAGGGCCTCTCTGACCCCGGCGCCCACTGCCCTCCTCCCTTTCGGGGCACTCGGGATCATCCCGGGAGCGTGAAAGGACAAGAATGCAGGAGCAGCGAGAGGCTGTCGCAGGAGGGCACAGCACAGCCAGAGGAGCGTCCGGATCGCCGAAAAGGAGACGTTTGGTTTGTGTTAACTACCCAGACAGATGCACTTCGGCATGTTTGCATTTATGGAATCCATATGTTGTCATGGAAAATTAGAGGACAGCAACACAAAACTAGAATTCACGATGCAAACGCAAAGAAATTGTACATGGCTACCAGACCACGCTCGCACATGTTCCCGCAGAGGTGCCTATTTCTGGAGCATCGACAGAGTTACTAGACCTGCTTGCCACCTTCTCCCCGTGTTTACTTTTTCTTTGCTCTACAAAAAGTGTGTACATAGGCAGCACCCATCCTCAGACCGGTACCAGACCTACAGCCTCTGGTGAAAATATGCACTTCTCCCAAGTTATACAAGGGTTACTTTATTCTCGCCTCAACTTTATCATCAAAACACGTTTGTTTCAGTCAGCAAAAACAACAGTTACAAATTACATGCACCTTTACAGATAGCGCACAAGCAGCCCTGAAAAATCCATCTTGCCCCAGGGCTTCTTGGTTTGGTGTTTCAGGGTTTTATTTCCATCTTTTCTTTTTTTGGTTGGGATTGTTTTTCTTGGGTTTGGGTTTTGGTGGTTTTTGGTGGGTGTTTCTTGTTTTTTTGAAGGATAAGAAATGTTAATTATTCTTCCATAAAGCTAGGCAAATTTTTAAGGGCAGCTTTGAAAGACAAACTGGTAACATACTGGAGTCTGTCCGTTTCGCAAAGCTAAGAACTCGTACACAGCATGCACACTGTCACAGCACACATCAGAGCTCCATTTATCACATTCACAGAATGATGTTTCATACTAAACCTCAGTTCCTAAAACCTGCAAATATCTTCCAAATGCCAGATACTTCCAGTAATGTATCAGCTAGCACAGCCCTTTTTCAAATTTCCAATAATCTGTCCTCTTCTTTCATCCCCCCATCCCACTGAGGACTTGTCAAAATTTCAAAGGACAACCCCCACATTAAGAAATACAGAAAGCTTGATGCACTTCATTAAAAATACTTACTAACAAACATGCAGTTTATTACCTTTCAGTATAAAATACATCTACATTAAGGTTCTCCCAAATGAAAAAAACTGATCACAACTGCAATCCTTGTTCAGTGCTATGGAACAAACTGGGAAGTTAATTATCTGGGTTACTATTAGAAATTAAAAAACTAAAAAAAAAAAATATTTTTTTTAAAAAAGGAATTTGAAAAGCTTCTTCAGATTTCTTAAGAGAGATTATTTAATTCAGCCACATTTCTGCCAGTAATAAAATAGTCTCTTACAGAAGGATGAAGAAAACATATTCCTGAAGCCTGGATAGAGATTCTTTACTCGTTCACCTCCTTCTAAAATTCAAATCCCACGTTCCCAGCAATGATACATATTTTTCACGAGGGCTGGAATGAGGAGGGAAAAGCTGCTGGAAGGAAAAATTTTAAATAACAATCGCAGATGGACGCAAACAGAAAGTGAAAAATGTTACCGTAAGGCTAGAGAAGCATTTATTTAATCAAACCAGAGGTTCTGTTGGGACTGCAGGAATGTTGCATCCTTTCCTAAAAAAAAAAGGAAAAAAAAAGAAAAAAAAAGGCACAGCCGCCTCCTGGAGTTCCCCATTGTCCGGGGCTATAGAGAGCCCCAGAATGGCATTAAACTCACAAAAGGCACATTGTGCAGGGGACAAAAAAAGCCCCTTCTTCTACAATAACTTTTAGCTTCTTATTTTTAGAAAATGACAAAGCTGTTGCCAGCGATGGCTGGTGAAACCTGTAGCCCGGCTCCCAGCGAACTGGACGCGGCTGTATTGATCCGCTGTCCCGCTCGGCAAGGCGGCCGCAAAGTTTGAACGGGCGCGCGGGCCGGCGCGGGGATG